TGGTCTAGGTGGATTGAGAAGGCTGGCACATGAGTAACTGCAACCCAGAGGTGAGCGTGATAAGTGGCATGCATGGCTTCTGAGAAAGTTCTGTGGGGATCCAGAGGAAGAGAGGTCATCTTCAGCAGGAAAAGTCACAAAGAATCTCACTGACAGTATCTGATGGAGACTTTGAAGACTGAATAGGAGTTTACAAACAGAGGTAACAGAGGGGAAACCGGCATTCCAGGGGAAAGGAACAGCACGGGCAAAGGCACGGACATGGGAAAGTAATGGACATGTGACAGAACAGTGGACACATGAGAGAAGATCCTTTCGGCTGGAGAATAACATTACGTACACATCCACACACAGACACACAAACATAACACTGACGTGGCACACGGTGACAGGTACATACAACCATGCATAAAACACAACACTGTCACACACACACATGCGGCTCTGCTGTGACCCTGGCCTTACCCTGCTCTCCCCACCTGGGTCAGCAGCAGTGGAGAGCTCCAGACCTAGGCACTGACCTCAATGAACGTGCTGTTCCATACACGTGCCTTCACGGTCACGTTGGTGACAATAGGAGCATCAGGAATGGGGAACATTACGTACACATCCACACACAGACACACAAACATAACACTGACGTGGCACACGGTGACAGGTACATACAACCATGCATTAAACACAACACTGTCACACACACACATGCGGCTCTGCTGTGACCCTGGCCTTACCCTGCTCTCCCCACCTGGGTCAGCGGCAGTGGAGAGCTCCAGACCTAGGCACTGACCTCAATGAAGGTGCTGTTCCATACACGTGCCTTCACGGTCACGTTGGTGACAATAGGAGCATCAGGAATGGGACACTCCAGCCACACACAACGGGCGCGGCCAGTGGCACAGGTCTGAGTTGGGCATGGAACACAAGACACGAGAAAGTCTAAGTCTTCATGCTTCATTCCTTACCTTTGACCCCTCCCAGGCTTTGTCCCACCCCTGGGTGACCCAAAGAGGCCTGACCTCATCCCTTAACTCATGTACACTCCCCCATCCCCACCCCCATATGTTTAAGACACATTCTTTGGGCCAAGCTCACATAATGCCAGGAACGTGTATAACGTGAAATCTGGTCCCTGCTCATATAAACAGGACCCAACCCCCACACCCCCTTCCCAGCCCCCTCCCACACTGAGTCTTTGCTCATGCCAGCTCCCTGCCCCCAGGACACCACCTCCTACCTCTCCACTCAGCCAGGCCTCAACTTGCTTCCTCTCTCCCTTCCTACAGAGGGCGCCCTGCACCAGCCACACCACCCTGTCCCATACTTCCTGCTGCCCCTCCCCACTCCCCAGCCCTGATGTCCAAGGCTTTGAGCAGCTCTATCCCTGACACAGGTTGGGGCTCCTTGGGACAAAGCCAGTATCTCCTCTTTTGGTCCACTGTACTGAATGCTCCCCCATCAGGGTGGGGTACCCTCTGAGGGCAGCAGAGGAATCTCCCCACTCTGTCTGAAGGCTCCCAAGGGCAGGGATCACCTCATCAGACTGGGATCTCCCGGTCAGTAGCACCTATCTCCCTTGCTACATGTGCCCCCTGGTGCCCATGCACCTTGTGATGAAGTGGGCACAATCCTCTCCAACCCCACTCTGGCCACTCACCAGCAGAGTCTCAGACTTGGCTTTTTTGGCAGCAGCCAATGTGACAGGCGGGGGCCCCTGGCCTCCCCCTGGGTCCAGCTGTCGCCGCCTGCGCTGTGGAGATGGCAGCCTGTCCCCAGGATCCTGAAGAGGGAAGAAGTGACTTGCTGGGAGGGCAGAGGAAGAAGTGGGAGCAGGGGTGGGAAAGGGGGAAAGGGCAGGGGGAGAGTCAGGCTCCCAGAGGGCTATGACGGGAGGGTGGGGAAGACACTGGCATCTCTGCCTGGCAGCATACAAATAAGATGCAATGCAAATGAGATGCAAATGAGAGATCCCTGATGGTGTCCTTACAGAGAGAGTGAGGTTGAGAGGGTTGACAAGGTCTCCAGGTGGCTGGCAGTGCCAGGACCCATTGCTGTGGACAGTGATCTCCGTGGGGTACAGCAGCCACTTGCCATTGGTGACTTCATAGGGCCACTCCAGACCTAGGACCAGGGTCCCCAGGGCCACCAGTCCCTCGCCCATTGGGGCCACCTGTGGGCACAAGAGGTGTCACAGTCACTGTCTCTTAGAAAACTACCTCCATCTCACCAACTCCCAAACCTCCCACCCTCAGACCCCAGAGCCAGAAAAAAAAAAAAAAATCCCATCACCCTTCCTAGGAGTCCCCAGCACAGGACCCTAGTCCAGACTCCCTTACCTGGAATTCATACTTGAGGGGGCTTCCCACATCCTCCACAGTTTTCATGCCAGCCTCACCCATCACTGTCCCTCCAAAGAAAGTTTGTAGCCGGTGATTCACCCTAGAGGTAAGAAAGATTCTGGAGTAAAGGGCGACAGGAGCCTGGGGTCCTGCAGAGGGGGTGGGTGCCAAGGCTGGTTAACTACAGTTCTTTGGACATCAGGCAGATCTGGGTATAAACCCCAGCTCTGCCATTTACTAGCTGTGTGGCCTCAAGCAAGTTATTTTTCTATCTTCTCTGAACCTCAGTTTTCTCATCTGTAAAATGGAGTAAATAATAGTTGCTACATCATAGGGCTGCTGTGAGAAGTCAATGAGATGATGTATATAAAATCCTTAGCACACGAACTCTGAAGAAACGGTAGAGACCAACACTTTAGCCCCAGGGTTGTTGATTCCTCCTCTTCTACCTGCTTTATAGCGAAATAGTGATAATAATAATCATGATAGTGGCGGTGGTTGTTAGGGGAAGGAATGACCTAGGGGAAGTGGAGCCCTAGCTCAGGCACAGCAGGCTGGGGGTGCGGTGGGAGGCAGAGCAGTACCCACATGCCGAGCGAGGCCTGGAGAGTGTAGTCAACCAGCAGAGTCAGGGTCATGGGCTGCAGGTTGTCCTGGTGACTTGACCTGTGGAGGGAATGCAGGAGATAGGAAGGAGACTCAGGATACCTCAGCCCCAACCCTGGGAATCACCAGGACACCTCAGCCCTGACCCAGATTGGCTTCTCGAGGTCACTCACGTGGACAGCTGCAGCTGCACCTGAAGGTCCTTTGTGTGCAGGGTCACCCCAATGACCTCGAAGGCAATGAGCAGCTCCATCTGCCATGAGGGTCAGGAAGGCAAGGCAGAGAGGGTCATTTGGGCCTGGGAAGGGATGATTCCATGGGGGAAAGGGGGTCTGAACACTACACCAGGGAGTTTGTTCTCTGGCCACCTCCTCATTCTCCTCCTTCTCCCATTCTGGGCTGGGGTCTCCACCTCCCCACCTCATCTCTGCCTCTCTTTTCCCCTTCTTTGTGGGGTTACATTTCTGCTACCTTCCAGCTACGTGACCTTGAGCAAGTTACTGAAACTTTCTGTTTTTCCTCTTCTGTCAAATAGCATCTACCTCCTCAGAAGGTTGTGAGAACTACATGAGATCAAAGAAGTGTCGGGCTCAGGGCCTGGCACATAGTAGGTGCTTAGAAAAATTGGTTTCTTCACCTCCACCTGCTCTAGCTTTGTGCATAGCTACCCAGAGGCCCCGTTTCGTGTCTGGGCCTCCGTCCCCCTCTACGGCATCTCCCTCTGCCCAAGTCTGGCTCTTTGCTTCAAAGAAGCCTGGGAAGCAGCAGGCAGAGCAAGAAGGATAAGAAGCTCATCAGAGGAGCAGCCTGGGGCCCATGAAGACTGGGAGGGTGTGGACAGTGCTCACCCTCTGATTCCGTTTGAAGGGGTTCCCCAGCTCGCAGAGGATGGTCTCGTTAGCCTGGCAGGTCCCTGACTGTGGAAAGAAGATGAATAATGACAGGGTTGGATAGCGTGTCCTCACTCCCTATGGTGCAGGGTTAGAAGCCCTAGAAGCTTGAGAACCGGGTTCTCCAAGCAGTAGAGACACTGCAGGCACCTGAGGAGGCTCAGCCCAGAGGAGGGGGCACATGGCAAATGGCAGCACTGTACATGACATGCACATTGGTATGCAAACCCGCGTTGGAGATCTGTTTGGGCTTTGAGCCGGACGAGGAGTTACTCACGGGGCGCACTGAGGACAGCAGCAGGGCGGGAGGGACAGCCAGCGTGAGCAGCGCCTCGTGGGCGTCTTCCCCAGCCCGCTCTGGACTCCGGGCATTGGTCACATTGATGCTCAGGAGCAGTTTCCGGATGTCTCTGCTGTACTGGAGCCTGAGGGGAGGAACCCTAGACTAAACCAAAATCCCCGTCCGTCCGCAGGCTCCTCCCCATATCAACTAGGCCCCGCCCCTCAGGTCTCCTAGGTGAAGACCCCGCCCTCTAGTCTCACTGGGAGAGAAGGTCCCTTTCCTGGACGTCCTACCAGTCCCATTGAAGTCCCTCCCACCAGGCTCCCTCTCTGAGGCCCCGCCCCTGGCCAGTAAGGCTCCGCCCCCAAACCCCGTTAGCCAATGAAGCTCCACCCGCCCTTGGTCAATCAGCACGGCCCACAGCCCACCTGCTCAGCCGCTGCAGCTGCTCGGACATAAAGGCTGCACGCATCTGCAAATTGCTGTCGCACCTGTTGTCCGGCCCGCACTCCTTCTGGAACTGGACCTGGAGGTGGCCTAAGGCGTGAGGGGCTGTACCATCCACAGCGCCTTGTCGCCCCACAGCCCTCCCGGCGCCTGCCTTTCTGATCCCGGACCCACCTACCTCAGTGTGGTTCTCCAGAGTCTGCGCCTGGTTGAGGACCGGGTAGGCGTCCAGGGACCGCAGCCCCAGCCGGGGACGCTCGGGCATCCGCACAGGTAAAGAGTAGTTCATGGAGATGATGATGGGACGGAGTTTGTCGCGGACGTTGTCCTGGGGAGAAAGAGCGAGCTCAGCCCAGCCTTGCACTGCCCCTTCTACTTATATCCTCACACCACCCTGAACTCCAAAGAGGAGCTAGGGCCCCCTCTACCCTGAAAACCCCCCAGCTAGGCTAATCCCCCTTCTAGACCAATCACCAAATTCAGACTTCCTACCATCTTGACCCCCCAAGAGAGGAGATGGGGTCTTCCTCTGCAGAGGTCCCTGGGGGAAAGGGGGGTTGAGCTTCCTCGTCCACAGGAGTCCCCAGGTTGAGCTCTGCCCTTCCACCCTGATGTCCTAGAAGGACTGAGCCTGCCCCCACTCAGGAACCCCTTTTTCCCAGAAGCCAGCTGAGCCAAGAGCTCCCACACCCCTCATAAGCCTTCTGGCTCCATCCCCACCCCATGGGTCTCTATCTCTCCTCTACCATGTGCTGGGTACTATGCACTGTAGCCCCTATAGATCTATGGGCTTCCAGGCCAACTTCCCCACCTCCATCTCTGGGGAGATCCCAGTCCCTAACCTTTGACCTGGGGGGACACTGGCCACCTCCTCCAGGGATCGTGGCGCCCCCATCCAGCCCCTTGCTCTTCCCTCACCATAAGCAGCAGCTCCAGCTTCTGGCAGCGCTTCTCGGGCATGGAGAAAAAGCCGTGGAAGACAGCTGACTGGCTGCGGGCAAAGCGGAGCCGAGGCGGGCGGCGGTCCCGGTCAGCCTCCAGAGTGTAGGCCAGAGCTGCAGGTCAACAGGGTGGTGAGCAAGTGGCCAGGTGAGCATGTTCCCCCTCACCCTGCACCCCAGCACTCACTGATGTTTCGCCTGTAGTTGGGGTTCCCGGCACTCTGGTTGTAAGCAAAGCACAGCTCCACCTGCACACTGTTGGGGGGATGTACAGGAAGGCCTGGTCACGGTGGGACACAGATATCCCTAGCTCTCACAGGCCCTAGCTCTCACCCCTGTACTGGGCAAAGAGCAACCAGGGCTTTTGGGAAATGGCAAGGGCAAAACTTGGGGGGTCTACAAAGCTGGACTCTGGTGTCCCTGGCCCCTTCCCTTCCACTCCCATTAGAGCCACAGAAAACAGGGTTAGAGGTCACCAGTGGGGAAACTAAGGGCCAGAGAGCAGAATGACTTGTTTGAAATCATTAGTCAGTTGGTGGCTCAGCCCAGCCTTGAACCGAACTCTCCCGATCCCCAGTCCAGATCTTCCACCCCCACCCTGCTGCTTCCCTGCTCTGTCTCCCTGTGCCTTCTGACACAATATCCTTATTCACATAAAGACCTTGGAGTCATTGCCTTTATTATTGTGACTTTCTTAGCAACTAACATTTTTTGAGCACTTAGGGTGTCCAAAGCACTGTGCTAATGACTTGTACATTATCTCATTTAATTATCACAACAACCCTGTGAACTGGTTATTAACTGTTTTATAAGCAAGGAATCCAAGACTCAGAGAGTTTAATTATTTGCCCAAAGTAACACTTCCTCCTTCCCTACATCAATCCACCTAAGTGCATCCCTCTCCCTCTTCCTCCAGGACCTCACTCCCAAGCACCTGCCCCTTCTGCAATGGCATTGCTGGATTTAAACCAGGCAATCCAGAGCTCCCACTAACCACTATGCTTCTCAATTCATCCATTATCTCCTGCAGAAAATTTTGTTTTTTAATGAGGTTGGGTTGGGTGGGCAACACTAATCTGAAGAATTGAACTTCTAAAGGTGAGACATCAGGAGTTGCCAGGGGAGGGGTTTGGGAGCTGGGGCTCTTTCTGACCTGCCTATACATGAGGAAGAGTGGTTAGACAGAGCAGGGACTGATAGTCTCACCAGGAGGTGGCTGTGCAAAGTGCGGGGTCCAGCACAGCTGGCTTGGCCACCAAGGTCCTGTGGAGGATATTGATGACGGGCCGGGCCCTGCAGAGACAAGAGAACCAGGCAGACATCAGGGCTTCTTCCTACCCAAGGCCAGGGCTGGGGCTCAGGCTTCCATCGACCTGGTGCCAAAGATGGACAGAGATGGGGCTCAATGCAGACAGGGATGGAGGACAGAAAGGCCCCAATCTGCTGTCCCCCTGGCTCACCGCAGCAGCACAATGCGGTCCGACAGGCTACCCACTAGCAGGTCTGGGTAGAAGTTCTCATCCACGTCCATCTGCCCACTCAGGGAGTAGCCAAAGGTGGCCAAGCCTGGCAATCCCAGCTTCTCTCCGTGGATTACCTGAGGCAGAGGAAGTGGTGGGGATAGGTTCTGGGGGACCCTCTAGGGAGAAGGGCCAGGGGGGAACAAGGAAGGGGTGGGGGAGGGAAAGGAAGGAAGGCCCACCTCAACTGGCAGGGAAGCAGACCCATCCCCATCCATTCATACCTGCTGGGGCTCTCTGAGGAGCCCCCTGGAGCTGCTGTGGTAGATGTACACTTTGCCCAAGCCCTCGAATGGGGCTCCCACAGCAATGTCTGGGGAAGAGAGGCAGACAGAGTCACCCAGATATTCTGGGCCCCACATCTCCCTAACCCTGTGCTCCAGGCCATGGAGCCCAGCATGGCATGGACCTTACCCTGCCAGGCAGTACTCAGAGCATCAGGGAAGGGGCAGAGCTCTGCAGCTCAGGATTAAAATGGGGACCATTGGAACCCAGTTGCCTCCTTTCATAGGTGGGAAAGTTGGTTCAGAAGAGGGGAAGTGACTCACCCAAAGTCACATGGCAAGTTAATGCCACAGGCAGACCTATACCCCAGATTCCTGACCACTGCCTGGTGTTTTTCCCTTATTATGGGGCCTTCCATCTCCCCCACCAGCCTCCTCTAGCCACCCTGGTTCTGCTAATGACACTGACCATCAGGGTTAGAAAAGGAGGTGCACCCCATTGGTGACTCTGCCAGGTACTTATCAAGCATGCATCTCCTTTAATCCTCACAAGAGTGCTGTGGGGTAGGTACTATTGTCCCCACTTTATAGATGGGGAAACAAAATCCAGAGTCACACAGCTAATGAGAGAAGAGATAGTTGATCCCACATTTGTCTAATACCAGAGGCTGAGATTTTAATCCTAACACTATAGTGGACTTAAAGTGTCAAGACTTGAAATTCTAACCATTATTTTCCCTAGTAAACCCAAAACATTGTATTATCGTCTTAAACTTTACTGAACTCTTTTCAGTTGCTGCTTTTCACCTGAGAAAGCCAAGCTTGTTAGTAAAGTACGTAGAGGAAGGGTAAGTAGGTCCTAAGCAGAAACCAAACTACTCTTCTAGAGTAAGTGCTTGTGCTTTGACTGAACTTTCTGGCATCTATTTTGGTTCTTCGGAAGTTCCTCTGCTTTCCTTTTGCTTCTCAGCTATGTCTTGAGAAACTGAGGTTTCCAGAGAAGTGGCTTCCAAGTAAGCCAGGTGTTCCCATGGCAGGCAGGCTCAACCCCTTGATCCATCCTTGTCCCTGACACCCAGGTCTGATTGGTCCCCAATTCCTGAAGAGCACTGGTGACAACACCTGTATCCAGGGCTCCCACCTTGTCTCAGCCTTTAGCATCCCACACCTGATATACCGCATTCTTGATCTTAACTCCCCCAGCCTTACTGCCCCCCATCTCTCCCACACCCCTCTCCAGAATCATTTCTTATGGCACCAAGTTATCACCTCGCATCCCCACTCCCAAACTTTCTCTGGATACCCCACCACCCCCCGCCACCATTACCCCAATATAAAGCCCCAGTTCCTCTGCCTGGCTTTCAAAGCACCTATCCCCACCCCCACACTACCTCGCCAGCCTCATCTCTGACATGAACACATCCGCTAGCATTAGGCACATCGGGCAGGTCCCTGTACTCATGTAGCGCTCCCTCCATTCCTCTGCATCGTGCACTCTCAGCCCTGCCTTCGCTACCCAGCACCTATCAGCTCCCCAGGGGGTCTGCCGAGCTCGCCTCTGTTGCTCCCTCTGCACGTCCTCTCTCTAGTACTGCTGTGAGCTCCCCAGGCCTGGACCCCATCCCATCTCCTCTGCGGGCCATGTCAAGCCTGGCATGCAGCTGGCGCTCAGTGGGGGTGCTGGTTATACCCTGGAATCCATCCTGGTTGATGTCACCAATGCTGGCCACTGAGAAGCCGAAGGCAGAGCGACTGGGGCCGTGAAGAAGGAGGGTGGGGTGGGCAGGGAAGGAGGTGCCTGCTTGGTTCATGAAGACATAGATGGCGCCCCCTACCTCCTCTTTTCGCTCGAAGTAGTAGGGGGCACCCACCAGGAGGTCCTGCCACCTGCACAGGAGAGAAAAAGGGGGAAATGGGAATGTGAGGTTTGCCCCCAATATGCAGCATAACTCTCGTTTAACAGGCATGATTGTGCCAGGGCACACAGCTGTGCAAATGGCACCTCTGGCCATAGGTCGTAGGAAGGACACGCAAATGCCAACATGACCCACCAAAAAGAAAACACATGTCATAAAGAAGCCATGCAGGCACAGATCACACCCAGACTGCCCATATCCACTGAAGCCATACAAATGACAGGCACATACAAGCAAGTGCAGGTGTCATGCAAATGACATGCAAATACCAGACTCCATAAAGTCTTGATTGCAAATCCCTGCAAACAGCACTCAAACAAATGCACAACTGCAAAACCTCCATTTCCCTGACCTGGCTTGGGCAAGTCCGCCCTCCCCCACCTCTTTCCCTGGGCCTAGAGGATGTCGCTAGATTCTCACCCATCGTTGTTCAGGTCTGCCAGGGCAATGGCGCTGCCAAAATAGGCGCCCACCTGCGTGCCCTCCAGCACCTGCCTCCTCCGTAGGTCTCCACCTGCCTCCTGGCTCAGCAAGAAGACAGCGCCCATATGTCGGTGCCGTGGGGCACCCGTCACAATAGTGATGTCTGTGGGGTGCAGGATGGCACTGCCTACCTGCACTGTGTACCCTGGGATGGGAGGAAAGTGGTCAGTCAAGGCCACAGTAAACTTTGTCCCTTTCTACTCTGGAACCATCCCCTGAGTCCCCTTCCCCCAATTATGTTCTATTCCTCTATTCCAAGTTGGGCAAGAAAGTGGACCCGATGCCCAGTAGCTGTGCCCCATCGCAGCCCCAAGTCCTGCCTGCACATTGGACTGGGAGCCCCATGAGAAAAGGAGGGATTTTGTATCCTGGGAGCTTGGAACAGGGCCTGGCATACAAGTGGTGCTCAATAAGTCTGTGCTAGCTGAACTGAATACCACTAGTCACACTTGCCAGGCTCTGAAGGTAAGAGGGCCAGTGTATCAGGGACTGAGCCCCTTTCCCCTCTCTCACGCAGTCGCCCACCACAAGTGCACTCACCAATGTAGAGGTTTCCTTGGTCCTCTGGGTCCTTGTAACTATACTCAGATAAATCCCAGTCCTTCCGCTGAATCATGTAGCTGTTTCCTTCACAAGAGTTTGGGGAGGGGGGAGCAGGGGAGTATAAATTATCACCCTTTTCCTCCACCCTCTCTAGCCACCTCCCCCCCCCCCCTTAAGGATAACTCTTTCATTTGTGACCACTTTGCCACTTGTAAATCACTTTCTCCTTATTTTAACAATTCTGTAAGGTACAGTGATGACCCCCACTTTGCAGATAAAGAAAAGTGAGGCTCTGGGAGGGAAACTGATTTGCTTATAGTTCCCTGGGGCACTAGCTGTAGAGACATGGCTGGAATCCAGTCATCCAGGGCCTGGCTGTTAGACACTACGTGACTTAGGGTTAGGGTTAGGGTTAGGGTTAGGTTAGGGTTAGGTTAGAGTTCCCCTAGACACTGAGGTCAGACTCCACACCATTGTCTCCTTCTGTTCCCACCCCCAAACTTGGCTGTCTACCTGGCTCCTGCTCCCAGAGCTGCTGCTGGAGAGGCCCTGTGACCCTGCTAAGGTTCTAAAGGACCAGAGGGAGGGAGGCAGGACCAGAGGAGGGGGCAGAGGCCTCAGCCTTAGGTGAGCTCAGAGCTGTCACTACACCCCAGGCTACCTGTTGGTCAAGAGGAAGAGATTCAGAGCTCCCTCTGCCTGTGGAGTCTGCAACAGTAGGATGTGATAAGGGGAGAGGGACACCTGTAAGACAGTGTGTGGCATGGTAGTTACAAGCCATCAGACACCTATAAGACAGTGTGTGGCATGGCTCTTCATACAGGAAAGTACTCTGAAGCCCCTAAAAGGATGGTCCTATGTATACTGACATGAAAATATGTCCCTCTCCCTGATACCCCAGGTCTGATTGGTCCCCAAGTCTTGCAGAGAAATGGTGATAACCTCCATATCCAGGACTGCCACCTTGTCCCAGCCCTTATCCCACACTTGATATATACTGCATACTTGATCTTAACTGCCCCCACCTTGCTTCCCACCATCCATCCCACACCCCTTCCAGAATCATCTCTCAAGGTACCAAGTGATCATCTCACATCTCTGCTCCAAAATTTTCTCTGGACACCCCACCACCTCACCACCCCCATTAACCCAAATATAAAGCCCCATTTCCTTTCCTCCACAACTTTTGATAAGTGACAAGAGAAAGCAGCAGAAAAACATGTTTAGCATAATTCTGTTTGTGGTTTTCATTTTTTAAAAGATACCTAAATATTCTAAAATAAGTCTAAAAGGATCCACAAAATACTATTAACATGGGAAATGGGATGAGGGAGATGGGTGGAGGGGAGGGGCATTTTATTTTTTATTTTACCAAATCCTACTGTACTATTTAGTAGTTGTACTAGGAGCATGTTTTATTTTAAAAATGAGTTTTTAAATGGTTAAAGCGAAGTCTGCTGGATCCATTCCAATCCAGTTTTCATAACTGATTGCTGGCCTTGGGCAATTTACTTCACTTCTCTAAGGCTTACTTTTCTTTCTTCTTCGGCCAGTACTGGGATCCAAACCCTTGACCTTGGTGTTCTCAGCACCGTGCTCTACAACCAGCCAAGCTAACTGGCCAGCCAATAGGGATCAGTTTTCTTTTCTGTAAAATGGATATAATAATACTTGCCTCAAAAGAAGACATGTGACCGAGAGACACATGAAGAAATGCTCGACATCACTAATCCTCAGGGAAATATAAATTATATATCAAAAGGACACCTGCACTCCCATGTTCATCACAGCACTATTCACAATAGCCAAGAGATGGAATCAGCCTAAATGTCCATCAATGGATGGATGGAATCAGCCTAAATGATGGAATCAGCCTAAATGTCCATCAATGGATGAATGGATAAAAAAACCTGTGGTATATATACACAATGGAATACTACTCAGCTATTTAAAAAAATAATAGCCTATTATTTACAGCCATATAGATGCAACTAGAAACCAGCATGTTAAGTGAAATAAGTCAGACACGGAAAAACAAGTACCACAATATCACTCATATGTGGAATCTAAAAAAAAAAAAGTGGTTCTCATAGAAGTAGAGAGAAGAATAATGGTTACCAGTGGGCGGGGGCTGGGGAGAGAGAATTGGTGGACTAACGAGTACAAAACTATGCTGTCTACCCCAAGGGAATCACTGTGCAGTACATGCATGTATTGAAACAACACACTGTGCCCAACAAACATGTACAAGTAAATGTTAAAATATGTTGAATTAAAAATATATATACAGATGTGCAAAAAAAAAAATAATGAGAATACTTGCCTCATAAGAATATTTTAAGATTAATTAAGATAATATGTGTACATAGCATGTGCTTTAAAATAGCAGAGGTCATGGTGGTTGCTGATATTGGCACGGGGGTCCTGTCTCTTTTGCCCCCTAGTGTGGATGGTCTGGGCTGGCTGTTCCAGTGGCTAGTGGGGGGTGGATGGTCTCTGCTCTTCCCCCCTGCCCCCATGGTCCCCACCTTTCCAGTTGTAGGCACCAGGGGCGCCGAAGTACACAGTGCTCTTGGTGAAGCCACCGCTGGTGCCCAGCTGGCACATGCCCGTCTCCAGGTAGTCAGTGTTGCTGTTGCACATTTCATTGTGGTAGGTCTGCCAGTCATCACTGGGGTCCAGCTCTAGGTCATTGCCCCGCACATAGCACTTGCCCACCATACGCCGCTGATCCTCTGGCCCCGACCACAGTACCTGGGTGTAGCGGTGGGCACAGACCTGGGGACCCCCCCACACACATGCAGCCTTAGCCAGGATTGGGGATCCAGGGCCAGCTGTATCCTTTGCCCTGCCCACCTCTCGCTCTGCAGGAGAGGAGTTGAGGGAAGTCTCCTGGCTTCTCCTTCTTCCCGCGATGATATTTAAATCTTTATCTCCTATCCAGAATTCATAAATCTGTTCTGAAGGTCCTTTTGGAAAGCCAGAAGATATGACTTTGAGAGCGGCTTAGAGATCTTGGTGCTAGGAAAGGGGGGAAGGATGAGGGAATGTGGGGATCAGACTCTTGGGTCTAAAGGGGGCTATTTACAGAGAGATTAAGGAACTTGCTTCTCTGATGTCCCCAGATGACCCTGTCCTCTTAATGAAAGGACAATTATTAAAACAATAAGAAATAATAATAGTAGAAGCTAACACTCACTGAGTGCTTACTATGTACCAGGCACAATTCTAGGCTCTTCATATATTAACTCTTTTAAGACTGCTAACAATCCTACAGTGTAGGCATAATTATTTTCCCCATTTTAGATAAAGAAACTGAGGCACAGAGAGCTTAGTAACCTGCCCGAGATCTCACATCTAGAGAGAGGCAGAGAACACTCAAACCAAGGCTGTCTGTCTCTGAAGTCTGAGCTCTTAAGCACGAGGCTGTACTGTCTGGCAAAGATGAGCATCTACAGACACTGTACGTGCTCGATATATATTTATAGGGCAAATCAATGGATCTGGATAGGATGTTTGTAAAACAGCCTGGGGCCACGCAAAATCCAGAAATAGACCTAGTTCTTGTTTAGTTGCTTTTTGTGTCTCCTTCTAGCTGTGAGCTCCACTAGCATGGCAACTGAGCCTGTCCTGAGTCACTGCTAAGTTTCCAGTGCTAGCTCAGTGCTTGGTACACAGTAGGTGCTCACTAAATAATTGCTGAATGAATGAATGGATGGGTGAGTAGATAACTGCTAAAAAAAACCAGGGTTTAGAATGGCTTTTAAAGGACTCCTAGACCCACAACCATCTATAACAGGCATCTTGAAGAGGCATTTCAGTGAACTGATGCAAACCTGGAGCTCAGAACAGTGTTCAAAGATGACAGAAATCAAAGCAGTGATAGCTCTGGGGATGGCCATTGATTGGAAGGGGGCACAAGGGAACTTTCTGGAGTGTTGTAAATATGTTATCTCTTTATGAGTGTTGGTTACACAAATATATACATTTGTCAGAAATTCATTGAAACTTAAAATCTGTACATTTCACTGTATGTAAATTTTGTCAGTTTTAAGAATGGTTGATCAAGCATCCTCAAAAAAGAAAGAAAAATGGGGAAAATTTTCCATCTGGGACTCAGAAATTGAGACTCCAGGGGTAGGCACTGAGGAATGCGGGCGAAGGTGACAACTGACAGCAGGGAGTGACCCCCAAACCAGAGCTGGATGAGCGGGTGAGCCGGGTGGGCAGGGCTGTGCCTCTTCCGGCAGCCAGCCTCCCAGCCTCCCAGGAAGGAGCCCGGGCCAGTGCTGAGCCGCCTGGGGCCATCTCTGCCCTTTCCTCCTTGCGGTTCCCTCCACTCGTTCCCACGAATGGTGAGCACCCGGCCTGGGTGCGGGGAGGAAGTGGGTGATTCAGACAGGGCCCAGGCCATGCCTAGCCTTGGGAGAGTGCCAGGCATGCAGGGAGCAGGGAGCAAGGGACACACTGGCCTGTGGGAACACAGCCTCATTGCACAGGCCCCAGCACATGTACTGAGGACGTCTCTGCTGCCGTGTTTCCTCCCTGCCCCTGGGAGATGAAGGAGAGAGCTTGGAGAGGTGGGGCAGGGCTGACACTGAGTGCCCACTTACCAGGACTCTGCCTGCAGGGCCCTGGCTGGCCACAGTCACCCCAAGCCACATGTCCTCGATGATGTGATGGTCAGGGTCACCTGTGGGCAAGGGAGGGATCATGACCCAGGGCACCCCACTCTGTACTCCAGTGCTCAGAGCCTCCAGAGGACAGGGGTTGGTCCCTCTTGGATCCTCTGCCCCCGCAGGGCAGCTCCCTGCTCTGCTCCTCCAGCCCATCATCACTTTTAGCCCTACCAACCCCATATAGTCCTCCTCTCCTCTAGGGCTGCCTCTTCCCAGCTGGACAGGAAGTGACTAGAAACTGCACAAGCAAGCCTTCTATCTCTTCCAGGTCATTCTCTCTGGCTGCCCCCTAGCTGAGCCTCAGCCCCTTCCCCTCACTTTTCTCCATGATGTCCATCCGCTCACAGTCGTCCTTCTGGGCAGTGAGTGGGCACAGGTACACAGCACCAGTTCGGTTGGTGTAGCCATCAGGTACAGCGAGGTCCCGGGGGGCACCAGCCAGGAGCCTGGGAGCAGGGAGACAGGTGGGCCTGGGCTCACACTCCCTGAGCTCAGACTCGCCCACTTTAAACAACATGTTATTCAACTTGCATTTACTGAGCATCAGTTCTGTACCAGGCTCTGGGGGTCAGGAGAGGAATGGACCCCAGCCCCTGCCCTCCAGGAGTGCCCAGGGGAAGGCAGGCAAGGAAACAGACACCGCAGTAAGGGCTTCTTGAGAGGAAAGTGGGGAGCAAACCAGCACAGGGATGGCAGTCAGGGATCAGCAGGGATGGCAGTCAGGGAGGGCCCCAGCAGAGGTGACCAGTCTGAGTCTGAGGACAATGACCAGGGTTCCCCAGGTGAAGAAAGGGAGCAAGGGCACTTTAGGCAAAGATATGGCATAGGCAAGGGCCAGGAAGCATGAGCAAGCAGGGTGATTCAGGGATCTGCAAGGCCTCAGCATAGCTGAAGTCCAGGAATATACAGGGAGGGACAGGAGGCGGGCAGGAAGAGCCTTAGGGAAGCCACGGAGGGATTCTAGGCAAAGGAGTGGCATGGTCAGATCTGGTTTTGGAAGGAATGCTTTGGCTTCTCAGATGAAGGTAGACCAGAAGAGAGCAAGACTAGAGGCATCCTGGCACTGGGTTCAAATTCCGGGGGCTGGGGGAACAAAGGGGAGAACTTGAGTGGGTGGGGCAGGTTGTCAGAGGCCTGGGCCCCTAAGTGACCTAGGTGATGTCCCACATCCTCCCCACCTCTACCTTGAGACAGGCCCATGAGGTGTGGGTGGGTCTGGGTACCTGGTACTTTGGACAATGTGGCACAGAGCAGAATTGCCAGTGGGTGGCATGAGGGTGGGGGTGGACAAGGATTATCACCATGCCCCCAGCCTACCAGAACCCATCTTTGGAGACACTGACTACAAGTTTTTACAAGAATGCTTAGGGCCCTGGCAACCCGCCCCATACCAGAGGGGTGACTAGCAGAAGGAGGCAGAGGATCGACCCTGAAATACTATTTCAGAGGACAGTACTGCCTTGGGTCATCAGCATCAGAAATCCCTGGGATATCTGTTAAAGAGGCAAATCCCTCGGCCCACCACAGACCGTCTGGTGCACCCAGTTTGAGAAGCCAGTTCTACCATCCCTTCTTCTTCCCACATCATCTCCCCGCAGCCTCTCAGTGTTCTGCTAGGACCCCCTCCTCAATCCTGAAGAAATCAGCCTCTTGGACAGCAGGCACCCCCCACCCCACCCCACCCCCCCGGTGCACCTCCATTTGCCCCAGCAGCATTACCACCCTGAGCTCCCAGCTCAGAACTTGGGCTCTGGGCCTCCTGCCAGAGTCTAGAAGTGCCAAGCAACGGCCCCCTCTGCAGTCCCTGCCTGGACCTGTGCATGAGGGCTGCAGGGAGTGGGCAGGGCAGGGCCTGGGCATGCTGGGGCCTGGGTGCCTCCACCCACTGGAAGTCAGGAATGCACTGCCTGGAGGTGCAGGGACTGGCCAGGATCTCTGCCTCCACCTCACATCTGCCGCTCAAACTTCACCCTGGGAAGAGTTCCTGGGAGCGGGGGTAAAGCTTCCCCACGCACAGCAGTGTTAGGAGGGCTGGTGGGAGGCTGGCAGGGGGCCAGTGTGGCAGTTAGGCTTGGTTAGTTGCCTTCTGTCTAGGCTGGGGAGGGTGCTTTGGTGAGTCCACTGCCTGACCACCCATGGACATCCGCCCCCTGGCGTGCCTGATAGATGAGAGAAAGAAGCCATGGCCCATGGGAAAGAACCACCTCAGGAGCCTAAGGACCTGGTTCTAGGCTTTGTTCTGCCTCAAGTGGCAATTTCCTTTCCCTCTCGGAGACTTGAGTGCCTCATCTGTAAAATGGGGACAGTAGCTGTCCCGCTGACCTCTGGGGCTGTTAGAGGAACAAGTTGGGTTCATTCTGCAAAGGGGCTTTCTGACTATGAAGCCATGGCCAATGTGAGCACTGTTGCTCTGATTTCTTGTGGCATCAGGACTGGGCCTAGGATGACCCCAGGCTTCCCTCCAGGGACCCAGGAGTTTCTGCCCTGCCAGGTTAGGGAACCTGGAGCAGAGGGAAAAGAGCAGATTACTTTGGTTATTTAGAGGGAGCAAGGGATGGGACATGAGTAGGACTTCCATGGCCTCAGGATACCAGGCAATCATGAAGGTGGGGGTGGGGGCACTGGCAGCTAGAGTCATTCTAGGGTGGGAGTTCAGATTTGGTTGGAGTGGAGGTTGGGGGGGGGTGCTACAATGATCTTGAAGGGGTCTAGGCCTCAGCGGGTGAGGGGCCCCAGGGAGCCCAGGCTGCCTTCCAGGGCAGGCGGTGCAATGGAAGTGTTTGCCCATCACTGCTGCTGCCCTGCCCAAGCTGGCGGGCAGGAGGTGGCTGAGGAGCGGGTCTCCAGGCCCTCCTAGCTTCATCTCAGCTGGGAAGGGGATGAGGGACCCCTCCTCTCAGCCTCCTGAGGTACTGAGCAGGCAACACTGAGCATGAATGCCAGCGGATTGAAATAAATCCCCTTACCACCTATACCCTCCCAGCCCTCGCCCCAAACTAGCCTTGTGCTCACTGATGGGGATGGGGGGCAGAGCCAGTGCCCTAATCCCAGCCCCATATTCCAGCCTTCTTCCTCCTCTGAGATTCCACAGGGATCCCTCCTCCCCCAACTGCCCCCCTCCCCCACCCACCATGGTATTTTTAGCTCCTATTTGGCCTGCTCAGAGGCCCTTTAAGGCTCTCTGGCTCCCAGCCCGGGATCCAATGGGTCTACAGCCAGAGGCCTGCTCATGGATGGAGGAAGGCAGGGCCCAGAGGGTCAGGTCCAGCTTCCAGAGGGTGGGAGGGACCTTACTGATATGCAAATGAATGTTAATTAATACGCAAATGAGCAACTCTGCTAGCCACCTGCCATTGGGTCTGGTCCAGATCAGATAATCTAAAACTGACCCCTCCCAGACCACAATTGAACCTATCCTCCCAGCTACAGTCAGAAGGCGGGACACTGGACAGATACCTAGACGGAGATCTTCGAACAAGGAAGACAGGAGATGGAACCTCCCGCCTCCTGGAGTCAAGCTGGGCTGGCAGGAGAGGAAGCAGGGAGCCCCCTGGAGGTAGGAGGACGGGTGAAATGACCTGTCAGGGGCTTTCAAAGAGCTGCCTCCTTGCACTCTCCTTTGGCTCCAGCCAAACAGCCATTCCTGCCCTCTGGGGAACCCCCTGAGCTCCAAGTTCCAGAAAAGTGCTTCCTCACCCCTGCTCCACCACTCCTCCTGGGGCAATTCAAAGCTAATGGAACAGCCAAGTAGAAAGCAGAATAGGAGAAGGCTGGGGAATGGGGCCCAGGAAAGTTCAAGGCACCAGGTTGGCTCACCCCAAAGAGCAGAAGGCTCCCTGGAGAGCACTGGGGTGGGGCGAGGCTCAGAGAAACAGCCTATAAGATTACACTTCCCAGACTCCTTCAGTTCATGGAGGTATGGGGGTGGCTCCAGGGGGAAGATTTTAGAGGGGGCCAGAGGATCTAGCACTCAGGCCAACAGGCCCCCCATGCCTTACTCCTCAGATCCCTAGCAGCCTGCGTTTCCCTCCCACCCCAGCCCAGGAAGCAGGTGGGGAGGGGGCCTCCCTCCCGGAATGCAGGGTGAAGGTGAGGCCAGCTCTAGGATGCTTGGCTCCCAGCTCTGTGTCAGCCTTGCTGCCCAAATTAGCCATCTCCCCAGAGGCCGCTCCTATGGTAGCTGAAACTAACTGCAGCTCCCTCCATCCTCCCCCTACTCCTCCTTACACTGCCCACCCAGCCCCCTCCCCCACTGGTGACTCAGCCCCTGAACCAGAGCATCAAGCTGGAGGCAGCAAGAGAATGAAAAAGGAGGGGAGAAAGAGGCCTTGGCTAAGTCTTGATGAAAGAGAGCAATGCTGTTTTTCAGATTTCTTTTCCCTTTCCCTGGCTCTTTAGTATTTTTTCCATATTTGACCCCTTAGGGCATTCTTCTGGTCATCTAATCTAACCTCAGTCCTTCTTCCTGCAATGGACATCTTCTTCCTTTGTTTAGCTCTGACCAAGCCATTTTTGCCTGCTGCTTTTGCTACAGGATCAGGCTTCCCCTACGTCCTGCCCAATTTAAAGCCCCTTGGCCTAGACTGGTCACTGGCGAGAGCCAGAGGAAAAGGATACCGCATGTGCAGGCCTTCTGCCTGCGGCCACAGCTGCTGTGCTCATTTCTGCTGGCACGAGCCTTGGAGGCTGCAGGCACCTGCCCTGCCCAGGGAAACATGTTTTAGGAGAGCACAGCAGGTAAGCCTGCTCCTACCTACCTGAGTCATGACCTCATTTCCAGGAGCTACAGCCACCCCCGCCCCAGGCTTCCCAGACACTCTCATTTCCAGGCAAAGGCAAAAGGGAGAGAGGGCCCAGAGGTATGTCCCATAGTCCACAAAGTCAGGCCAGACCAGGACACCTGGATTCCTGGGAGGGAATGAGAGAGCCGATGTGGAGGGTGGGGGTATCAGTAACCACCTCCCAGAGGAACAGTCCCTCTCCCTGTAATGGGCCCTCATGTATCTCACCTAGAAGCCCAAAGCACCTTGCCCACCCTCCCCGACTTCCACAGACTAGGAGATTGGGGTCTGTGTTGGGACAAGCCTCCTATGCTGCAAGTGGGGGACCCCTGTCCAGAGATGAAGGTGATGGGGCAGCAGAGAGGGCCCACACCTGGACTTTTAACCATTTCTGGAACAAGGCCTTCTTTGAGAACATGAAAACTGTGCACTCCCCTCCTCCTGCCCCCCAGGCAATGTACAAACACACATGATTTTGCACATACTTTCAGATCCCTTCATCTCCTACAAACCTTCTATGGACTCCAGGCTAAGAACCTATTCAGGACCATGAACCCTCCCCTTTTCCAGAGGGACTCTAAGGCTGACAGAATATGAGGCTGCATCTTGACTTGTGGTCCCCCTGAGCTGTGCACTCAGGCAGCTGTTCACAGCTGGCTACACAGCTGGCTGCAGCTAGGCCCAGCTGGCCCAGCTGGCTCTCCCAAAGGGCCAAGGAGCAGAATTCAATGAGATGAGGGGATGAGCCAAGAAATAGAACCACCCCTGGACAAGACTCAGGATATCCAAGGGGGTGGCCCAGAACTCTCTCTAGAACTATCTGCCTCTCAGAGGTTCATTAGCTTTAGAACCTTCTAGGCTCTTGGAAGGCCTGATGACATCTCTAGCTGCCCAGAAGGAAAAGTAGAACCCTTTGCTTGGCCATCGTGGGTGGGGCCTATGGGTAATGGGCTGCATCTGGGTCCTGGTCTCAGCACAAGAGCTTTTAGTTGCTCCTTGGAGAAGTGGGCATATGCAGAGCACTTTACACACATGATCTCATTAAAGCCCCACTCACACCCTTGCAGAAGGGGTGGTGTGCCCCTCCTCTCAACACATGAGAAAATTAAGGCTTAGGTATTAGTGACAGATCCAAGACAGGATGCTGGCAGTAGGACTTCTGAGCCTCTTCTCCCTCCACAATGCCAAGTTACCTCTCCTAGGCCAACAGAGGAAGGAAGGAGCATATAGATCCAGGTCCAACCTCTTTTTGAGGAAAACTAGCCAGGGAAGGGAAATATCTTGCTCAAGGCCACATCGCAAAGTGGGGAGGAGTTGCAGAATCATTATTTACTCTTTCTTTCCAGTCTAATCATCTCTTTACACTGTTACTTTATACCATGCAGGCTCACCATTGAAAATCTGAAAATCTTTTTCTGGGCTAGGGCAGAAAGAGCATTAATATAGAAACTTGCATGGATGGTCACTCAGGATCCCCAAGAATGGAGGGTTGGTCAAGGGCAGAGGGCAGCTGCTGGGGCCAGGCTGGGAATGGTATGGTGGCCTAGCTTCTGCAGAAGCCAGATGGAGTTGAGGCTAAGTCCAGGGAGATAGGCCAGGCAAGGGCTGGGCCAGCAGAGCAGAGGCCAAAGCTGGGGCAGAGTTTGGACTTTGAGCATTCCAAACTTCCTCAAGTTTCTGCAGGCCCCAGCCAGAGCTGGAAGAGGTTTCAACACACCCTTAATGTGACCATGTCTTCTTGTTCAGTGGAGTCAGAGGCCAGGTGGAGGCAGATGCCTGGCAGGTCATCAAGCCCAAATAGTTGAATGGGGCCTGCCTGATCTGTCCTAAACACTGTCCCTCCCTGGGCAGCCTCACCTCCCCCAGCTGCCCTCTTCCCCCAGCTGCCAACCTCAGCACCTCTGAGCCCTTGGTAGAGAAAGAAACCTCTGAAACCTGGACATGGCCCTCTGGTCGTGAGTGTGTATGGTGGGAGTAAGGGGAGGGGACAAGCAGCTAATGCAGTCTCCTGCCCCTCCCTCCCCTATGCCTAGCTCTTTCCTCCTTCTTGCAGCTGTTGGGGAAGGAGAAGAGAAGAAAGAGAAAAACACAGTCTCCCTCTTCAAACCAAAACAAACACACTCAGCGTTGAAGATTCAACATGAATCTGTGGAATGCAGGGAAGATGTCTGGTGTGAGAGCACCACTGCTTGGGGGTGGGTGGCAAGAGACTGAGCCACACACAGTTGGGACAGCTCCTCTCCTCTCTTCTACCCCCCCCCCCCCTCCCCCCCCCCCCCCCCATCCTCAAGGGGTCAGAGGGAGGCTCTGGACAGCTCCAAACGCCCAGACTCACCCATCGCCTCACCCTCCAACCAAGCAGTTGAGAAGGCAGTCGTCTGGCTCTGCAGAGGGTGTGGCCGGCGTGACGGCAGACTAAATGCGAGGTACAAGGGGGTGGGGTGGGCTTAAATGCATATGCCCAGGGGTTCTTCCCAGGCTTAGGGTAAGGAGGGTCCACTAGGCGTTTATCTACGAAATGGGAAGGAGTTCAGGCAACAGAGACCCCACTTCCGCTTTCAGGACAGGTATAAGGTGTGGAAGGTCGGCGTCTAGACAGGTTCTGGCCTGGTCAGTACTTGCCAGTGATGACTGCCCCCTTCGCCCCCCCCCCCATCCTCTACTTCCCGCCAAGCCCCGGCAGCCAGAGGGCTGCCCGGGTACCCTCCCCTTAATCCTGGCTCACAAGGGCCTTCGGTAGCGGGCCTGGAAGCCGGCGGGCCCGGGGCTCCCATTCAGCTCCGGATCCGCACCCCCGCGCACACTTTCTCTCCCACCCCACCCCCGCCAGCCTCACTTACAGGTAGCGCTGCTGCCGCTCCGTCTGCCGATGGAGGGCGACTGAGTAGCCGAAGAGGCTGCCCGCGTTCCCGGCCTCCTTCACCACCAGGAATCGGGTGTCCAGGTTGAAGGCGGAGGCGATGCGACCGCCGGCCGCCACCATCAAGGCGAGCGCACAGAGCATCCGGCGCGGGGCGCGGGGCGCGCGGCGGGGGCCGGGGCCCATGGCTGCAAGCGGGAGCGGGGGCCGGGCAAGAGCTCTTGAGGACGCCGAGGGGGAGCGAGGACCTGTTCACCTGCTCCAGGAGCCTCGGAGGACGCTCGAGTCCGCTGTGCCGTTGCGCCCACTAGAGCTGATCAGTTTCTGATCCCCAGCCCCGGTCAGTTTCACTTCTGCTCAGGGTCTGCACTCTCCGATCCCCCTTCAAGGTCCGCAGGTCTATTCTCCCGTCTCCCCAGTAGCTGGGTCACCGCTCCCCAACCCCGGGCACCCGGCCCCCCAGCTCGTCCCGGCCGCGCCCCCTTGGCTGCGCTGTCGCCTTCGATCTCGGCTCGGCGGCGGATCTGAGCAGGCAGACCCGGTCGACCGCAAGGAGAACGGGAGGGAGGGGTGCCCCGGGCGCGCGCCCCGCCTCCCCACGCCCAACCCCGCACCTCCCCACCTTGCACGCCCAGCGCGGGCTGCGCTTTCCTTCCGGGGAAAGAGAAAAGGTCCCGGCTCGGCCGCCGCCTCTTAAAGGGGCAGCACCGCCCCTCCCTTCTCATCCTCCCTACCCCGGCTCCGCCCTCTCCCCCAAACACCTGTCCGGAGCCCCCAAAGGCGTGGATTTCCCCTTCCCGCCCCTCGCTTCTCCCGGGAAACATCGCCTCCGGGGCAAGATGGATTGGACTGGAGAAACCGGGGGTGGGATTTGTCCGGCCGCTTTGCTTCGGCTGCTACTCCCGCTGGAAAGGCTGTTCCAGGCACGGTCACCTCGGCCAGCTCGGCTGCAGAGACCCGGCGTTGGTGCATCTGGGAACTGACGTCCGCGAGCGGCTGGCCGGAATGCTGGACTCGCCTCCGCAGCGCTGTGAGTCCCTAAGAGGTGGCAGGCAGTCTCTGGGTGTTAGCCCCCTTGCTATCTTTGTCGAGATTTATTTCTCCTGCCACCCGCCCTCACCCACCCTGATCCAAGCTGGGACTGGCTCTTTGGCAACGCCAAACAGATATTTAGCAGTGGGAATAATCAAACATCGCTAATTATAATTAGCAAAAAGCCAGCATTTTCCTCTAAGGGCTGCAACTTTTGGTTTAAGGGATAATACTGTCGATGTGGAAATGAGTCCCTTCTCCTTCTTTGAGCGCACTGCATGGCCAGGGAGCTGGGCCCAGATTGTACCCATTTCTCATCCATTCCTGCCTTCAGGGCCCAGACCAGCAGAATCCCAACGGTCCCCTCCTCCCACCCAGGCTTGGACTGAGCGTTTGGAGACTGGGAGGGGACCAGCCCCCACAGGCAGCCAGTTGGAGGTAGGTGGGCGGGGCCCAAAGTCTCATTATCCGCAGAAGAATCAAACTGAAAGAGAACTTCAAGAGGTCACTATGTACTTTCTTGGAGTCTAACTCAGATTTCCCTTATTGCAGCACGAAGATCCTTTTTCCTTGAGCATTCTTTTCTCCTTATCTTCTTACAGTAGTAATAAGAAGAAAAATATCATGTATTAAGCATATATGCAGCAGGAACTATGCTAAATGCTGTACAAATATTATTAAATTAAATCCTCACAACAATCTTTGAGGTGTTATCTCTGTTTTAAGGTGAGAAAACTGAAGCTCAGGGAGGTTAAGCAACTCGGCAAAGGCTGCACAGCTAGGATTTTAATCCTGTGTTGTCTGACCCCAGAGTCCTTTTTAACTACTTATGCTAATAACATCTGTACAATACTTAGGGTAGATCCAGGTGGGGCCCGAAGCTTGTACAATTTGGAGCCCCTTTTAAGGAACGTAATAAATTAGGAGTACAAAATTAGATCCAGAGCCCGGGAAGGGGCCCCAGCCTAACTTTATAATTATTTCACATACAGACTAATTTCATTCTTCCAGCCTCACTGCAAGGTCAGGATTATTATCTTCATTTGACTTAGGAGGCAACAGAGCAAAGCCTCAGGATGGATGTCCAAGGTCATGCAGCTTATGGGAGGCAGACCTAGGACTGGAAGCCACTGCCACAGCTGTGTCTTTAAGAGACAAGCTCCAGGCAAATGTTGATCAGACAGTCAGACATGTCTACGCAAAAGCAGCTGCGATAACAGCTTTCTCTGTGGTGTTTGGGGAAAGGACACTTGTCCCTGACCGCCCTTATGACAGCATTTGTTCCTGAACTTCTAGAGCCACCCAGCCTCTCTCATGGTCTACCTGTGGCCCAGGGTCTCCAAGGATCATACGTCTGGGGTCAAGAAACAGGAAGCTGACCTGGATGCAAGTTGAAAAGTTACCTTTGCTTTCCTGGCTGGCTCCTGGGTTCTCCACCTTGTTTCCAGAGAAGGGGAAAGAACCAGGGACAGGAGGGCGGGGGTCCCACCCAAAACAGCTTTGAGAGTCCTGTGATGACAGATCGGCTGTGTGCCAGGCCTTATCTCTTTGGCCATCCCAAACAGGAATAACTAGCATGTCTGATCCAGGGACTGGAAGCAGGAAAGGGATGAGGGATGGTTTTTCCACTCCAGGGGAGTGTTCAGAGGGAATGTGGGAGCAGGAGCAGGGGCAACTGGTAGGGGGAGAGCCTGGGTGAAAGAATGTGGGGGAGTGTCAGAAGAGCTGGGGAAGATGAAACGGGGATGGAGGGAGACATGGAGATTGGAAGGGTCTGGGCTGGAAAGATGGAGAAAGAGAAATCCCAAGTTCATGTCAAAAGTCTGAAATCCTTTGGTTTCAGTGACATTATCATCCACAGGGTCATCTCATGCCTCAATTGACTTTATCATGTCAACTCTTTATCTGTCAACTCTTCCCCATGGAGAAGGGACCCACCTAGAAACGTAGACAGAGACAGAGAAACAAGGGCATGTAAATAACATGTTGATGATGAGTGTACATCCATTTTTTGATGTTTGCTGACAGCTTTTAACCCTCACCGCTCCTTCTTCCCCTTGTGCCCACACCTGGACACGCTGATAAGAAAGCCTGGGTTCCCCTTCCTTTGGTACAAAGGAGGGAGACTTGTGAGCTCCTTCTTGAGTGAACACACACCCCTAACCATGGTAAAAACCCAGGCCAATCTCTATCCTCACTCTCTCAAGCTATTTGGTACTTGCTTGAGAAGCTGGCCCTGCTCTCCCCAGAGATCTCAGTTATGTAAATAATAAACCTTGTTATACCTTCTTGGTGTGCCGGTTGAGTCATTGGTCTTGACACCAGAACCAAACCTTGGGTGGGGTCCATCTGCCTCTGCAGGTGGCCATAACAACATGCAAACTGTGGGTTCTGCTGGAGGGTCAGTGAGGCTTCCTGGAGGAGGAGGACCTGGACAAGGGGGAAAGAAAGGACTAGCAAGCGGGAGACTTGGGAGAGAAGAAAGGCAGAAGAGTTAGGGCCTGGTTGGGGTGAAGTTTTCCCAGCTGGAACAGTGACAATGTCAATATTCTATAAAGGCGGCTTCTGTTTGTCTAGCACTGGCTGTGTTCACACCAGCCTTCCTCTGCCTGCCCTCCCCCCACACCCACAACCTGGTGCCCTCATCCCTCAGGGAAAGGTCAGCGTGCAGACGTGAGCACACAGACAGCTGCTGGAGAAATAATGAGGGAGCGCAATGGGGTGCCACTTGGGGCGAGTGCAGGCTCTCTTCTGCCTTCTCACCACCTTGGGCGACCTTCCTGTTTTGAGCCTCAGTTTCCCCATCTGTGAAATGAAAGAGCTGGAGAAAATCCCTCATTATTTTCCAACCAGCATCCAGTGTGTCTCAAGACTCCTAATATTTGTTGATCTAAGTGGACCTAATCTCTGCTACTGAACTAAGACTGAGGTCTCTATCTCTGCCTTGAAATGCAAATTACTGGGGAGGGAGGGAGGGAGGAGTCGTGAAACGTGATTGGGTTTATCAGATTTGCTTCTGCTGCGACCCAGATTCGGGCCTAGCCCAGTTTCCTTTCCTGGCTCAGAATCGTCAGCTGGAACATTCATTGACAACCTACTGGGTACCAGCACAGAGCTGAGTCCCCCAGGGGTATCAAAGATGAACGAGGGCATCTTGGAGGCCAGGGTTTCATAGTGTCCTCACATTCTGGATGCTCTCAAATTGAAACAGGCTAAACCCATGTTGCATTGTATTTTAAAGGGGGTGCTTGTGGGGCAAGGGGGGCTGTCAGAAAGAACATTCTGGCTGCAGCATGAAGTTGACATTGCCAGGAGAGACTGGGCAAGTGGCAGGAGGCAGCTGCTGTAATCATTGGGGCGAGGGGGGAGGTGGGCTGAGTAGGGGCAGGGGCATGAGCAGAGGGAGGAAGAGAGTTGAGTAGGTGAAAAAGACCCAGAGTACTGATTTGACTTGGACTTGGGGGACAGGAGTAGTGGGAGGTGCTGGGGTGGGGGAGGGAAGGAGCAGAGGGTTTCTGGGAATAAAAGGGCAATGATCCCCATGGGGAATGGTGAGCAGGCCCCAAACTTCAGGGCACTCCCTGCCAGCCTATCCTCCCTGTCTCTCTATTTCCTCCAGCCCCCTTCATGGTCCCCTCCTACTGCCCAAGGCCTGGCCTTGCTGTACGCACTCTGCCCCACCCCCCAGGGTCTCCTCCCCTCCTGGCTGGGAGATTAGGACTTTGGTGGGCTCCACAGCATTCTCTATCTCAGGTCAAGGTGGCTCCTTGGAGGTCAGGAGGCCATGGGGACCCACATGGGAGAGGCAGCCCCAGCTGAGTCAGAAGAGGCTGAGTCACCACTGCCAGGGGCCCTGCCATTTCCGGGGGAGAAGCCTTCTTACCAGCAGGGTTCTGTGCTCAGGTGGGAAACCTGGGCCGGTGGAGGGGCTTCGTCTACCTCCCCGTTCAACTAACTTCCTAGATACTCCGCTGCGGGTGGAGGGCTACTGCGTGTATATTGACCAGACACGTGCCTTATGCATTCACATGTGTTTGCCTCTGTGACCATGTGTCTCTGAATGTTTTGTGTATATTTGAATGTGGGAAGGGAGCTAATATTTATTGAGCACCAACTACGTACTCGGCCCTTTATGTATGTTACTTTCTAATAACCCTGTAAGGTAGAGATGTCGCCCAGGTGACAGTGGAGAACACTGAGACATCCAAGGTGGAGGAGGTATGAGGACCTCCCCAGCACTGTCTAACTTCATGGTCATGTCCTTTTGTTCATAGTGGACTCCTTGGGGACAGGGTGTGAAAAGTGTGTGTGTCTATATTTATCCTCCTGCCGGTGGCTGTGATGAGTCCGGTGGGTAGGGACATGGTCAGTAAGGACCTGTGGGAGTGGCTGGGTGGACCGACAATGGTGACATCCAGCTTGCACAGGGCACATACTTTTCTGGTCTGGTCAATTCATGTGGCTCACCAACCTGGACTTGCCCCATTAGAAGTCAACCTCAGCATGGCTGACCGATTGCCGAGTGTCGTTGCCTTCTTTGTAATGGGATACTAATCCTTGTAGGAATGGATCTGCTGTACAATAGATGAAATGTGGTTATTTGCTCAGGTAAAAATAAAGATTAAAATATC